ATTTCTATTTTGAGAAAAAAAGAACTCGAAAAGCTTTGCGTCAAGTTATTTTGATCGGTGTTCAAACTGGTGAATTCTGCTCAATTTATAATGATTTAACTAACTTAAGANTTAGAGATGCAAGAAAGAACTATAGCTAATTCAGTACATTTCCTAGCTCAGTGAAAACATTTAGGAAGTGAAAAGTGATGTTGGTATTAGAAGAAAGAAGAGAAAAGGTGGCAGCTATGCCTTTGCAAAGTCAATAAGCAGACAAAAGATAGAGAAATAGTTCAAAACAGTGTGATTATGTTAAAATAACTGGGTGAAATCGATTTTCGATTGTGGTCAGATTTACATTACATACCGGTATGCTTCTCACTAGTAGTTACTTAATAGAATTGCAGCGAACTTCTTTATTCCCTTGATTCTCGGAATATTTCGATCAAAGTATTGAATCACGATTAAAATAGCTGAAATAAGGGTATTTAGCTTAAAACCACTTCTAGAGGTTTTTTGAGAAACACATGTAAAGACCGTTCTCTGATTGGCTAATTTGGGGTGTGATAAATAGCGCCAGTGATAGTGAGTGAAATAGTGCTAACAAGCAGTTTCTGATTTATAATCCATTAACATAGGCTGTTACATTCTCAATTTTCCACTTTGAGTGACTACAAAGAAGAAAAAATGGATACTCACAGAAAAGGTAAGATTCTACTCACTAAATTTATATACAATCATATGATCTTTCCATGACACATTAACACACCAAAATCAAAAGACCCCGATTTAATCTTTCTCGTAAATTATTAATTTGCTTACTGGTTTAGATACTATTAAACCATTTAATAATATAAAACGATGTTAAAAATTTTATAAAGTGTAATGTTCAATTTTATCTAATTTTGACTAACGGATATTTAATAATTATTTTGACCGATCAATGGTTAGATCGTGGAAGTTAGCTCACTGGTGTTAATAAAATTCGAATTCCAATGCTATATATATATATATATATAGAAAATTCCAGATTAATGTTTCTAAATTTGTGTTTCCTTAATTATTTCTCCATTTTTATCCGTAGATTGGAACACAAACAACATAAGCCACTTCGGTTCAGGCGAAATATCAAATAAAGGTACGAAACTCAACAAACATTTTCCATATTTACATAAACTCGGCTTTTATTTTCTCAAATGAAATGATAGCGTCCAAATTAGGAAGGACTGTTGTATTATTTTTACAAAGTGAATTGGTTTGTCTGATTTTTTACTTTCTCTCCCATTCGTTAATTTGCTAATTAGTGCTTTTCACTGACCTCAACGAATTTGCCATTCCTCTTTCCTATTGGTTCATTACTGTTATTATTTGTGCGTAATTTTACTATTTCGACCATTTTTTTATCGCAATGAAGTTGAGTAGTCAAATAATTTGTAATGCTGTATAATGATGCAAAACTGAGCTTATTAATTTGTCGTTTTAATCAATTATTTTCTTAAACGATACAGAACGATTCCAATATTGATAATCAGAAACTTTTACTTTATATACCTTCCAACGTGTTCTACTTCTCAAATCGTATAGAAAGGCCTTTAATTACTGAGAAATTTAAAATCTATTAGATTATTAAAAGTATTTTTACAACAATATAACGTTGTCAAATGAGAACAAAATGCTTGACTGTTTCGAGAAGTTCCTGAGCTGCACTTACCCGAGTTTAAACCCCCTCAAGTAGGAAAATCGTAGAACTTCTATAAATTGTTATATTGCAACAATTAGAAACTGAAGTTCTTTGAAGTTTCAAGGGATTCAAATAAACTCAATTTAAGATGTTAACGGTCTAAAACAACGAGTCGATAAAAGAGCCGAAATTGCAGCAATGCATTTAGATCTCGATTTTACTTTACTTATGATGCCAAACATCACACATTCCATTTTTGATTCAAAAAAACCCGATCTTCAAGATCGGCAAAATAACGGTAAGCAGGACTTCCTAATATCTATTTTAAAGGACGTTTTTCAATAATAATACTACAAAACACTGAAAAATTCTGTTTGGTGTCTCTAAATAATGAAATTATTTATTTATATATTTTTAATTAGCTAACTTTGGAACAAATTTTAGCTAATCCAATAGCAGGTAATAAATATAAGGCAACTTACGGAAACGATTTGAACTTGATTTATAAATAAAATTCAAAATCAAATAAATTCAGGATCAAAGTTGGCATAGCTATTGACGTTAAATTTATTTTTAATTATTTGTTTATTCATTATTATCTAAAATAAAAACGCGCGGCTTCCATATTTGAAGATATTTATTATCATTCATTAAAACAAATTACGAATAATATGTTTTTTCTTGAAAATAGAACAGAATATCATTTCCAGACTTCAGCATAACCATTTTTTGCAATAGTTAATAAACCCTAACTCTAATTCTAATAAAGCTGAGAGGAAATGATTTGTTGAGTAAGGAGGGTTTGATTGGTAACAGAGTAGATTATTGATATTGCACTATAGAGACTCAAGACAATTCGCTCTGTTTTTTACTTAAGTTCTGGATCTGTTGGCAAATTTGATGATGGAAACATGACTCTTTAAATATCCCTTCTTTTATGAGACTGAAAATATTCGGAAGCCCTTGTTGATAGCAATTAAGCAATTTAAGTTTTGACGGCTTGACTGAACGAAATGTTACATTGGCGACTTGATCACATTGACTTTTCGTAATCTTTCTTACCAAATTTGCATAGAATCTGATATATCAAAAGAAGTTTTAGGAAAAAATAAGTGGAAGGAGTTTTAATGCCCTCCAGTGGCAATGCTTTATTTGCTGAATGCGATGAGGTAGCTATTTACCATCCTTGACAAAGTGGAAATGGCTTCTCATAAAGTAAGGAGTGACATTAAATTTTTTCCACTCAGAAACTCTTAGCAATACTAACAAAAGACGGTTGGGGAAGAATGACTGATTTTGGCTGATTTTTGAGAACAACCAAAGCTGAGTCGATTCTTACGATTTTATGACTTTAAATATGCCAAGAGATGCAGCATTCTAACTGTCATAAATGTAATTGTACTTAAATCTCTGGAATCTTGTTGGTTTTGGTATTTTCAGCTTTTTTCAGAGGGGAAGAATGAAGTCATATTTGTCCCCCACAATCAACAAAACTGACAGAAGTGGGTTAATCGAGGAACGTTGAGGGAAGGACACAAAAGTGAAATGAAAATTTAATCCGCTCTATAAAAACCTGTCATTTAACATCTTGAATCTCTCCATAAAATATTCAAGCAGTTCAAATGATAGCTATCCGCATATAACACTCAGAGCAATGAGCAAAATACCACTTTCAATTGTCATCTTAAGAGTATTTCTGACTTGAATGATGGAATTTTTGGAAAAATAAAAAGACCCTACTTCCTAAGAGGTTATGAAATTTAGCTAGATTGAATCGGTTTTAAGCCAATTTGAAATACGTCTTATTAATTACCTAGTAAGCTGTTTGCTTAGAGATTGGCAGCCTTTCGTATCCGTTCTAGCAGACCGAGTCAACTTATTGCATTTCGTTAGCATAAAAGGTGATCCAGTGAAACAGATAGCCTATGTCGTAAAGTCTTCTATTCTGAAGAGTGACAGAAAAGATTACTCATGGTCACTCACGAGAGTTTCAAAATTTCATGTATGCAGAAGCAAAGACGGTAGTTTTATAGTGATAAATGATAAAATAATGTTTTTTTTTCTTTCAGATAATTCGATTAAGACGACGCATGAGGAAACTAATTTTGTTGAAGGAGGTAAATTTGTTGGTATAACTTATAATGAGAGTAAATAATCAAATTCGAAATTGACTTAATTAATGTGCATGCAATAAATGGTCTTAGAAAATTTAGCAGCAAAAGCTAAGTGATATTCGAAAGAGAATCGGGTAAGTCTAAAATAGCCAATATCTGGAAGAATAAAAAGCTTTGAAATATATATTGTAAATAATGCATTCAGTCTACCCTGAAAACCTTTCACAAATCTCTGTGGCAGAATTACCAATTTATCTTTCAATCCTCCCAGAACTAGCTTAGCTACAGCCCCAATATAGAGGAAACAGACATATCCCACGGAATGCGTTTATTTAAGATGGATAGTGTGTTAAATGTGTACTTGTCGAAAGGTTAGTTATAATCAACATGGCTGGATGAAGGAACAATTGAAGGCTTCTGATTGTCCATCATGAGACTCCAATTATGAAACACGAAGCACCTCAGAGAAGTGAGAAATATTCTACAAATCAAGTCTTAATTGCAAATTCGCTTAAATTGCCCTTGACCCTGTGTTAAAAATTCACTTATTTTTATTTCAACTTTATTTGACTAATGTACATTTGAATCCAAGCACGTTGCTTAAAATTGCAATAATGCCAAATGGAGCTTATTACACGTGTATATGAGATGAATATTTTTGTGTAACGTACTGATGTAGTCAAAGTAATATTTAATTTCTATTGGTTTTGGCATTGTTATGAGTGATTGTACCGATTGTTTAATCAGATCATGAAGAACCCCCGGTGCCACCGAGAAAGGGTAAGTTGATATTTCAAAGCTACATTGACACAAATTTTTGAACGAAATGTAATGGTAACCTTTCCTTAATATTAATCTGTAATTTCATTACCTGAGATGCGATATGTTTGTCATGAAATTACAGCAAAGCGAAATAGAGCTTCTAACTCGTGTAAGTGATATGAATATTGTTGACTAATGTAATAATTTAATCAAACTTAAACTAAATTTCCATTGGTTTTGCTGTTACTAAATGTGTTTATACTACTTGCTTAATCAACGCATGTCTAACCTCTAGCACTCAAAAAAGGTAAGTTTATACTTCTAACCTACTTTGACACAAATTTGTAAACGAATATTCATTTATTAATAATTATTTAATTATTAATAATGATTAAAATAAATAATAGTTATTTATTAATAATTTCATTATTAATAATTTGATTAATTGATTATTGATAATTTCATTATGTGGGTTCGCTAGCAACTTCTTGTTGGGTGATCGCGTATTCCACAGGAGGAAGGAACATGGACTCATTAATCGTGTATTCGTCTAGATTTAGTTGTTGCATCAGCCAAACCTAGCAAGTCAAGGAATTACCTCATAGAAAAATATAGCAATAACTAATGGATTAATAGAAAGTTAAGAAATGAGTTGAGTAGTATAAAGGTTCGTTTCCTCTCAATTCTTAAAGGGAACTTGACTAATGTTAATGCTAATGCAAGCACGTCACTTAAAATCAACACCAATAGCAAGCTAGAGCTTATCACTAGTGTTGGATTAATTACAAGTCCTAGAAAAAGTTTCCTCATCTATAGTTATTGTTTAGAGGAGTAAAGAACTTTCAAAATAATCAAATGTCAAACGATGAGGTATAAAAATTTTAGACGGAAAAAGGGATAGGGAACCACCAACACCTCTCAAAGCCCTTCCAAAAATAAATTAACAAGCGTTCATGTTACATTTTTTGCAAAATTTAATTAATTAATGCTTTTCTATGCAGAGATGTCACCACAAAATTGGTAATCCTAATTTAACCCAGAGACATTAACAGCAAATATGATGATATAATTTAAATTCCATTTCAAAAATTTTAGATGAGAAGAATGAAACTGGCTCAAAATGAAAGGGGCCTCTTTATTTGTCATCGACTTTACTCTAAAATGAAATTGGTCTATTCTTTTAAATAAATAATATTCTTTGAAAGATTTGAGTGAATAAAAAGTTTTTTCGACTTTTGTGATTTATTACAGGAAAAAGCACATTTGTGAATGGTTCGTTAATATAAATTTGCAGGCTTTGTGATGGCCAACATTAGCCCTTGAGTCGACTTCGCTGTACACGGAGAGGAGAAACATCAAAGACACATAAGGCCGAGAGGATGAACAGAAGAGTGGTTAACAGATGTAAAAGAGACAAAAACACAGGTAGAGGAAATGGTAAAGTGAGAAATGTGGAAGTGGTCGAATATGACGTACAATGGGGTCATGGTAGTTTGAAGTGAGTGGTTAAACGGCGGTTTATTGAATAGTTGGTGAAGGTGTATACATTGACCAGGGTGCACAAAGTGGTGGATCATCTATCCCCAAACACCATATATCATACATGGGAAGTACATGCATTAAATTTGATTTATTCTAATACATCTACCTTGATAAAATGACATGATCGATAGTGCGTTTGCGCAAATTCCCAGATAGAATCCAAATAACCCACACATGTTCAAAAAAAGCAACTTCGAGTAAATAATGCGACTCTTGAGATTGTACGAAGTGGGCTGATGTAGCTGATAAATGTGATGGAGTTGTAAATCAACATTAAATCCAGGCGAAATAAATCCAAAGGCATTATATTCCCGCTTTCATTTTAGATACTAGATTAAACATGGAGATTATTCTAAAGTATTAAGTGCCTAGTCGCAACATCTTTAATAACAGTTAGCTTAGTGTGTGGTTAATTACTACGATAACAATCATAGAATTGTGGTCAGTAATCTCTACGGCAAGTTCTCTCTGAATGGAATGGTTCCAGAGATTAACTGCATCACTTCATCAGTATAGTGGAAACAGGTGTTTGGTGTGGATCGCATTGATTTAGGCCCTGTGTATTGGTCACAGTGAGCATAGTGAGTATATGCAAGTTTGACTGCACAGACCATGCCAGCAATATAGATTGCTAATTGGCTGAGATTTGTGTGCACTCGTGACCTCATTCGTTCCCCGGTGTGAATAGCACCATTTTCGCACTCTCCAAAGTGCTCGATCGCGAAAAAGCTTCTTTGCTTCAGCTAAACCAGCCTTGTGTTCCCCTGAGAAAATGGTCTTTCATTCCAATTTCCCTATTTGGTATAGAAATACAATCAATGCGTTGCTGAGGCATGTGCATATGAATCAATGCTTCAGGTTTAAATAAAAAATGAATATTATTTTGACACTTTCCGCAACCGATTCCAGATTCCCCAATTATATTTGCATTGAACTTTTCTGCTTAACTTCAACTGTGGCATCACGCATTCACTTTCGAACGAATTCGTACACCAATTTAAGAGCCCATTTTATTCCAATGTAATATTTCCTCTATTCTTCGCTGTTTGCAGCGAAATTTACTGCATGTAAAACGGAGAAACTTCGGAGATTCAAGTATTCTCTAAAATCACACCCATGCAGAATACAAATATATATGCTTTTCTCTTCATAGTTCGGCTGACGAAATGAACATTAATAGTCAAATTTATCAAAATTCTAATGTTCATTGCAAATCCTGAACACTTTTAAAGAATTATTTCATGATCTGATGGTGTAAAGTAGTTGCGTTGATTCCGGTCTTAGTCTGACCAGCACAAATACTGATCCATCGTCAAATACGTGTAATGATTATGATATGTTATATAATTGTCATTCGAAGTAACAATTATGCCTCCATTATGAGCCCCTTCACTCTATCAACTTAAAATTTCACTTGAGTTGCACACGAGTCATTTCATGTATTCCTCAACTAATAATAAATCGGTTTGAGCACACACGTGTATCCACCTAGATCTGGAGCTTCCATACTTGGAAAGCAGTAATACGCAATCGTTGGCACCACACGATATCTCCAGGACACTTCAAATAATTCTTGCGCATACAAGTGTCCTTACTATTCTCCGAAATAACAACAAATTCACCAAGCTCAATTAAAACAACAAATTGAGTAATTTTCCTGAATTCGCTGAATATTCTGACAAGGTTTGATTTAAAATTAGCCAGAAATATTGGTAATTATGCGCATACGTTGATATTAAATACTGACAAGAAAATATATGTTAAATCGTTGCTTCCATTCCTTTTAACAAAATTCTTTCTTCTACTTTAAGTAGTTCTTTTAATTGGAATATTTCACTCCTTCAATGTGAGATTCTCGAAGTCCTATGCATAAATCGTCACATACAATTAATGTTTTTGATTGGCAAATGAGAGCTAATTCAGCAGGGTGAATACGTCGGGGCTCTTCACAATCATTAAACCAGACAAACTATGGAGAGCAGTGGGTTTATAACTTTGTTTGCCCTTTAAATTTGTCCTTTCAACCCCCAACTAAGAGAAGTTAATTAAATGACAAACACATCTCTGATAAGCATAATGTTACTTTTAGGAGTCAAGTGAAAGTGGTCATTATATAAGTTTAAAAGTCTTAGTTATAAATTGAAAGTGAACATATTCAAACAAAAGAATTCAACTATCAGTAAGTAGTCATTGAGTGAAGATTTGTTTCAAATTCACTAAAGAGTCATGTGCAAACTAGACTAAAATATTGCAATTTCATTGAATTTTGCGCCTTTAACGCATTTCACAAAAATGTTGTTTGCATATTGAGGTGGACTTAAAAATAGAAATGAAGTCTCGACAATTTTGAGAGTTTGTGTGATTATTCCGAAGTGGTAGATAAATTGAGAATTAACAGTCACAAATAAAAAATGCTAATTAAACTTATGACAAAATTCTAATGCATGGTGTGAATGCTCAATGATGCACTTTGATGTGAAAATGAATGAGGTTCTAATATGATCAAAATTGTGCCTATTATGAAAAAGTATTTTAAGTTATTCATTTTCGAAAGATAGAAGGTAAGAGTTTAAATCTGATCTTCGTTTTGCTGAGTTGGTTATGTTACTGGTGGTGCATTTCACCTGGGAGGGCACGTGAAGGCCAAGTCAAGTTGAAACGGTGCAGTGAAGGGGAAGAAGGTGGGAATGGGATAACACTTGAAGTGGGCACTAAGTTTACTTGTTGACATGGGCACTAGGCTTCAGGTTACAAGCACGTCAATCCAATGATCTGATTTTCTCATTTCCAAATATGAGGACGTGCTCTCTGTTTCCACACCTTAGCGTCAACTCGACCACTCTCTTATTCCATTGCGTTAGCATGAAATTGTTTCAATGAAACCGAAGGTCAAATGTATTTAAACTTTGTCCGTTCCTAGGAGTGACAGACAAGGCACGTTGTAAGTTGATGAATAATTTCTTTGTTAATAATACTCCATTTCTATTCACAAACCACATTCACTAAAAGGCCAGCATTGTGTTAACAAAATTAACCAATCTAAATTGTATGTGCCGATTCGTTATTGGCAAACACTGCGTGAACTCCTATTATTCCGAATAATGAAAATCCTGATTCATTGTTACAAATTGGCCAATTTTTCCTTCTTTACTAATGAAAATTTGAATGCCGTCACGTGATTGAAATTTCAACAAGGCAAAATTGAACCTATTACAGGCGAAAGTGATAAGAAAATTATTGATTAACGTAATAATAATTCAATCGAAATTACTTACAATTTATATTGGTTGCGCTATTGTTGAAAGTGAATGTATAAATTGATTAATCATCAAATGAATCCCCTTAGGCCCTCACAGAGGAAGGTAAGTTAAAATTTCGACTTTACATTGGCACACATTTTAAAACGAAATTGAACGGTAACTGTAGCCAAAGACACAATGCAGCTCAATACTCACCGAGCCTGTTTTCATTCATATTTATTTTCAATTTTAAAAGTAATAGATATAGCTATTTTTGCAGATACGAATGCTTCATCCAGAGATTCCACCCAAAGATATGCCAATTGACACATTAGTAATTAATTATAGATCGTCAATTACTAATTTAAAATTAAGTGACCCATTAATCGATTTTTAGTGGTTGCAGCCATACGTAGTAAGCAAATGAACGACATTATGTAAACTACAACAAAAATCGAATTATTTATATAAATTGCCTTCCAGGCAACATAATTGGCATAGTGCTATCCTAATGACCTCTATTTCTCCTTCAAAAGCGGATCTATTGTGTCCCGCTGCTGCGTAGAAAGAGAAGAGTTCAGAATAGACACCTGCACCAACGTTTGCTTGGCTTTCTATATATGACCCATCAGTGAAGACTTGGAGCCATTGATCTGCAGGATAGTTGGCATTGATTGTCTCAAGGGCCAGTGAGCGCATTTGCTCTGGAGGGGTGTTTGATTTCCTGAAGAAGTCGAACAGTTGGGTGCAACACACTACATCAGTGTCTGCTAATGGGTTCATGGGGAGAGAGAGGCTTTTTGGTTTATCATCGATTTGAAATGCTTTCTTCAGTTCTATAGCTTTCTGCATTATTAGGTTGGCAACTAAGTTATTGCCGATTTCAAATAGGAAGGCAAATTCGGAATTTTGTTTAAAAATATAACTTTATTCAATTAGATATTGGCCTTTCTTGTCAATGACCTTTTTCCATCGTTCTGGCAGAGTAAAAATTCCCCGTTCGTAAAATGTCTGGTCTTTGCTATTAAAAAACTGAATTAGGTGTGACCCGACATCATCCGCGTTGTTAAAAATTTTACCATTTAAAGAGTTTTGCATGGAACGAAACAAATGGTAATCCGAAGGCGCAAGGTGAGGGCTATATGGTGGGTGTGACAAAACATCCCAACCCAGTTCCAATAATTTTTGCCCAGTAACCAAAGATGTGTGGGGCCTTGCGTTATCATGATGGAAAACAACACCCTTCCGATTTGATAATGCCGGCCGCTTATCTTCAATTGCATCCTTCACTTTTTCGAGTTCTTTAATATACACATTTGAATTTATCGTTTGGTTCTGCGGCATGAGTTGAAAATTTAAAATTCCTTTGTGATCCCACCAGACTGACAGCATAATCTTTTTTGGTGAATCTCTGCTTTTCATACTGTTTGGGCTGGTTGATCTTGCTTCACCCATGATCTCTTGCGAGTAACGACATTGTCATAAACTATCCACTTTTCGTCGCAAGTAACTAGGTTCTTCAGAAATGGATCATTCTCATTGCGTTTCAATAGCGGCGAATCACAGATGCTAATCCGTTGCGTCAAATGAATTTCCTTTAACTGGTGAGGGATCCATAAATCAAGTTTCTTGACATAACCAAGGGTTTTTAATTTTTTTTCAATGCATGTATGCGACACATTGAGCAGCTTCTCTGCAATATCTCGTGTTGTGCTGTGACGATTTGAATCGATAATGGCCTTGGTATGGGTTTCATCCACTTCGACTGGGCGGCCAGATCGTTGTGAATTTTTCAGTGAAAAATCACCGGAACGAAATCTTTCAAACCAATTTCGACACTCCCTTTCTTTTAAGGCTTCATCACCATATACGGCACATAACTTCTTTTGTGCTTGCGATGCGTTCTTGCCTTTTCGGAAGTAATACCATAAAATGTGTCGGAAGTGCACGTCCTGTTCTTTCATTTTTAAATTGGGATAAAAACAAAACTAAAGAACTAAACAAAAAAATTTTTTACTAATTAATCTAGAAGCCCACACAGTAAGAAAAAAATATAGGTTAGATTAGGTTAGGTTAGGCCACGTTAACAAAACAAAAGAAAGTATAGAGTGAATCTGTCAACAAAAACGGCAGTGACTTAGTTGCCCACCCAATAGACCAGATTGCGTTTTCAGATGTCTTGGTCTATTCCCATAGGTGCTGAAGAACTTGTGCATGGGAATGCGCAGTGGCTTCTCATACAGGATCAAGGCCTTTTCTTTGATAAGGGAACCTATTGTGGTGCTTCCTGTAAATAGGAGCATTGCATCAATGGGTGTTGATTTATACCTCCAGTAATTAGTCGTAATGCTAGGTTGTATGCCTTCTCGAGTGGTTTGAGAGTCACCTCTGTGGCTGTAATGAGTGGCTCACAGCAATACAACATTATTAGCTGAATAAACATCTTGTAAGTGGTGTTTAGAGTTGAGCGCGCACAGCCCCATACACTACCAGCAAGACGCTTCAGGACATTCAGTCTATTGGAGACGCGTTCTGCTATTTTAGCAATGTGACTTTTCCACGTTAGCTTTGTGTCAAACGTCATTCCGAGATATGTGAGCTCATTGGTGTTTTCTAGGGTAGTATCCTTGTACCTTGGAAGCGGGTTTATGCTGTGATGGGCCATAGAAAAAGTTTGGAAGGCAGTTTTGGCAGTGTTGATTACAATTCCATTGTTGTCGCACCAGTTTGCTAGTAGTTTAAGTGCACAATTTAGAGCACTTTCTGTCCTCTCCTGAGCGTTTTTCTTAGTGGCGGAA